TCGGGGTGCAGGATCCAGGGTGTGGGATTTGGGGTGCAGGATCCAGGTTGTGGAATTTGGGTTGCAGGATCCAGGGTGTGGGATTCGGGGTGTCAGATCTGGAGCGCATGATTCAGGGTGTGAGATCGGGTGCGGAATTGTGGATGTGGGATCTCTGGTGCAGGATCCAGGCTGTGGGATCCAGAGTGTAGGATCTGGGATGTGGGATTTGGGGTGTGGGATCTGGGGTGCAGGATCCGGGGTGCGGGATCTGGGGTGTGGGATCCAGGGTGTGGGTTCTGGGGTGTGGGATCCAGAGTGTGGGATCTGGGCTTCAGGATCCAGGGTGTGGGATTCAGGGTGCAGGACACAGGCTGTGGGATCTGGGGTGTGGTACCCAGAGTGTGGGATCTGAGGTGCAGGATCCAGGGTGTGGGATCCAAGGTGCAGGATCTGGGGTGTGGGATCCGTGCATGTGCCAGCGGGGCCGGGAGAGGACAGGGACACCACAGGGGGGGTCATAGGACTTTTATTGAGAAGGGGGGGAGGTGACGCGGGGGGGTTGGACCCTGGGGGGGCTCGGACCTGGCACTGCCCCAACTGGGGGGGGGTCTGGTGTTCCCCTCTGGTACCATATTCACAAATAAATACTGGGGAGGGGGCGCGGGGCAGGGCTGGGGGCTGCGGGAACCAACAGCAACCCGAACCCAAAGCGGTTCAAAGCAGCCCAAAGGCCAGGGAGGGGCCGCATTACCCCCCGCCGTGCCCCGGCACCTCGCCAGGCCCCGGGCGCTCCGTCCACAGCAGAGCGGGGCCAGAACAGGAGATTCTCCTGCTCCCGGAGAGCCCCCGCCCTGTGGAGGGGGGAGGAGAGCCGTGTGTGTCCCTCCAAAAAAAAGGGGTTGGGCTGAGGTCCCCCCGCGGCAAGATGCGACCCCCTCCCAGCGGCTGGGGGGGGCGAGCGGAGGGGACCGGGGGGACGCGGGGTGGGTCAGAGGGGCTGGGTGGGGGGGGGGGGGGGGGGCAGCGGAGCGGGGGGGGGTCACTCCCGGACGTAGACCCTGGTGCAGACAACGTCATCGGCCGTCATGGTCTGCAAGGAGAAGCAGGGTCACGGCACGGCCCCCTCTCCATCCCACCTCATCCCATCTCATCCCACCCCACGGGAATTTCCCAGCATGCACTGGGGCAGCGCTGCCCCCCGGCGACCCCCCCCCCGCTCCCCCCTCACCAGGATGAGCTCCCCGTCGTTGGTCATCTCCCGGGACCAGCCCGTCTTGGGCCCGTCGCCCTTGAGCAGCCGCTGCTCACAAACCATCTTGTTCTCGCTCTCCCACCTGGCCAAGCTCTGCAGGGGGGGAGAGGGAAACATTTGGAGGGGGGGCACCCAGCAGGACACCCCCGCACTGCACCAGAGCATCTGTCACTGCCCCTGAGAGAGGGACGGGGCCGTTTGCCCCTGCACCAGATGGGTGGCCGGGCTCGTTTGTCACCTGGGGGGGGTGGGGAGGGGGTGGGGGCACAGGGAGGGGCTGGGGGCACAGGAAGGGGTTGGGGGGTGGGGGGCACGGGGAGAGGACGGGGGCACGGGGGCAGTGGAAGCAGGCTGCTTTCACCATGTGTGTGGCTGTGCATGCAAAAACATCCGTGTGTGCACAAATGTGTGCACACGTGTGCACACAAAATGTGTTAGCACACATACATGGGCACACATACATGGGCACACATACATGGGCACACATCTGAGGGCTCCTGCCCTGGCACAAAAGACGTGTGTGTGCGTGTGTGTGCACACGTGTGCGACTGCCCACACGCACCAAGCGAGAGCTCCTGCCCCCATGTGAGACATGTACACACAAATACACACGTATGTGCACACACACACGTGTGTGGCCATGCACATGCACTCCTGGATTCACACCAGAGCTGCTGCCCTCATGTGACATGTGTGTGTGTGCATGACACGTGTGCAGGCATGACTGTGCACACACATCCAACCTGACACACGCAAGGGAGAGCTCCTGCCCACACTCACATGCACACGCTTGCACACGTGTGCACACACATGGAACTGCGTGTTCTCTGCACGCACACGGGTGCAGCCACTCTCAGGTAACACGCGTGTGTGAGCGTGGCGTGAGCAGGCACAAGTGTGCACACACGTGCAGCGCTGCAGGCACACGTGTGGCAGGGCACGGGAGAGGTGCTGCCCTGGTGCAAAGCACACGTGTGTGCACACACACACGCAAACACAAACACACAAACACACACGTGTGCACACACACAAACATACACATGTGTGCACACACACACGCAAACACACACACACAAACACACACGTGTGTGCACACACACGCAAACACACGCGTGTGCACACACACGCAAACACACACGTGTGCACACACACGCAAGCACACATGTGTGCACACACACACAAACACACGTGTGCGCACACACACAAACACACACATGTGCACACACACACACAAACACACGTGTGCACCTTGCAGGGCCGCCCGTCCACCGTCTGCTCCTCGAACTCCTCGCCCACCCTGAAGCGGATCTCGGTGGTGCGCACGGGGGTCGAGGTGCGGATGTAGAAGCTCTCCCCGTCCTGCCGGATCTCCACCGCCGGCTTCGCCGCCGCCGCCACCGCGATCTTCCGCAGCATCATGTTCACGCCTGGGGAAGGGCACGGTGGCACCGAGCTCCCCCCTCCCCTGCCCTCCCCTCCCGCAGCGTCCCCCGGAGAGCTGCCCCTGCCCCGCGGGGGGACCGGAGCGGTTCGGTGCCCTCGGGGCGATGCGGCCCCCGCTGCCCCCCGAGCCCGGGGTGAGCACGGGGGGGTGGCGGCCGCAGCCCCCGCGCTTGGCAGTGACACGTCCCAGGGCACCCCGAGCGCCGCAGGTGGCTCAAGGAGACCCACGGGGGGACGGGCGAGCCCCCCCGGCCGCATCTGGGCCACATCTGGCTCTCGTTACCTGGTGGAGGCGGGGTGGGGGTGATCCCGGGGTTGGCGCCGGATGAGCCCGGGGGGAAAGGACGGGGGTGACGGGGGCGAGGGCTCACCCAGCGCGGGGTGACGGCGGGGACAAGGGCCCCGGTCCAAGCTCCGCGCCTGGTGACCCGAGTGACCCCCCCCGAGGGGTCCCACGTCCCCCCCGCGGCCCCCCCGCCAACCGCGGGGCAGCTGGGGCTTTGTCCCCGCTCCAAAGGCGGCTCATCCATCATGTCCTGGAGCCCCGGCTGTCACGGGGAGCTGCTCTTTGGGGACATTGTTCCCGTGTCACCCTCCGGGTGGGCACCGGCCACACCCCCTGCGCCTCCCGAGAGGGTCCCCGCACAAAGGGGCTCCCCAGGGACCGGGGGGACACGGAGGGTCTCAGCTCCTCGGTGGGGACACAGGGGGGATGTGGGTGCTCGGGGGGCTCCAGGAGCTGAATCCTCACAAAGTGGGGAGGGACACGTCCCTGAGGGGTCCCCTCCATGGTCACGCCAAGTCCCCACGGACACCCCCAGGTCCCTTCCCTCCCCCCGAGGCCTGACTCACACCGGGGGGTGCCCAAACCCTCGAGTGGGTAGACGCAGCCCCCCACACGATGCCCACGCGGGGGGGGCAGGAGAAACAGCCCCCAAAGGGAGCAAAAACTAGGAAAGGGGGCATGATGCACCCAGTCTGGGGGTCTGATAACCCCCCAGACCCTCTGCCAGGGGTGTCTGGGTGTACCAGCCGGGGGAACGAAGGGCAGGAGCCCCCCGATCCCGCCGTGGGAAAGGAAGAGGGCTCGGGGCAGGGAGGGGGGGTTGGCGGATTTATTTTCCTGCTGAGGTTTCCCCGAGCCGGTTCCAGCAGCGGGGCCGGAGGGGGGGAGAAGGGGCGACGGGGGAACGGGAGTGAAACCCAAGAAAGTGATAATTATCCTGAAATATTCGTTACGTATCCCCTAACCTGGAAAATATTCTGCTCCGGCAGCTCCCCGGCTGGCGAGGAGCGGGTCAGGCGGAGGGGAGCAGTGCAGGGGCTGGATCTGATCCTGCCCAAATCCCCGGGGACCCCCAGAGCTTGTGCTCCCCTCCAGTTCCACCCCCTGCGATGGGTCTTGGCCCCCTCCCCAGCCCCCCTCACCAGGGACACAACACCGCGGGGGGGGGCAAAGGGCCCCGAGATGAGCCCTGCAGGGGTGGGACCCCCACCCAGCGGGGTCCTGCCTGGGCTGTTTTTGGGGACACGGCCGTACCCGGGGTGCGGCGTGTGGCAGGTGAGCCCCGAGGGTGCCTTTGGGGTGGGGGAGGAGGGGCCGAAAGGGAGCGGAGGAGTTTGGAGGTGCCTTGGGGGCCTATCAGGGTGGGGAAACTGAGGCACGCAGGAGGGGGGGTCCTCGGGGGCCGTGTGGGACCCCTGGGGAGCGGGACGTGCTGCCCAGCCTCTCCCGTGCCTCAGTTTCCCCAGCGGGGCACCAGCCCCGAGGGCTTTGTGAAAAGGGGGAGGGGGGGGGGTCCCCCGGCTCCGGGCCCTGTGACCCCCCGGGCTGGAGGAGGACTTGGAGGGGAGATGGAGAGAAGGCCCCCCCGCCTCCCTTGCGCACCCCACCAGCCCGGGGGCGACCTGGGGGGACCCAGGGGAACCCGGGTGGGGGGAGAGCCGGGCTCCACTCACCCAGCGCCTTCAGCAGCTCCTCGAAGTTTTCCGAGCTCTTCATCTTCCAGTTCCCAGAGAAGTTGGGCATCGCGGCTGCCGGGGGTGGGGGGCACCGGGAGGGGAGTCACAGGGAGGGGACCGAGGGGGGATCGAGGGGGGACTGAGCGGTTCGAGGGACCCGCCGCTCCCTCCGCACCGGCAACAGCACCGGCCCCGCCGCTCGCTCCCTCCGTCCGTCCGTCCCGTCCCGCCCGCGCCGCCGTTTTATCGCCGGGCTGGTCCCACCCCCCGGCCCCGGCCCCGGCGCGGGGGCTCCGCGCTCACCTGCGCAGGGACACCCCGGAGGGAGCCCCCCGCCCCCATCTGCCCAGGGGGATGCGGGCGAGAGGCACCCCCTGGTCTACCTGTCCTCCCCCACATCCCCCCTGAGACTGCCTGTACCCCCTAATCTCCCTGCACCCCCCCGGCTTGCTGCATCCCCCTAATCTGTCCGTACAGCCCCCGAACTTCCCACATCGCCCCCCGAGCCGTTTATACCCCCCCAAATCTGCCTGCACCCCCTTTAGAGCTGCCTGTACCCCCCTAATCTCTGTGCACCCCCTGGAACTGCCTGAACTCCAAATGTGCTGCACCACCACCCCCCCGGAGCTGCTGCATCCCCCCAACTCTGCCCCTACCCCTCCGAGCTCCCTGCACCCCCTCAACTCCGTGCATCCCCTCCCCCCGGGCTGCCTGCACCCGCCAAAATCTGCCTGCACCCCCTGATCTCCGTGCGTTCCTCCACCCGAGCTGCCCACATCCCCCCAGAACTGTCTGTACCCCCAAAGCTTCCTGCACCCCCCCCCCGAAGCTCCCTGTGCCCCCAAACCTGCCTCCAGCCCCTCAAGTGGCACAGCCCGGTGCACACCCCCGGAGACACGGCAGGGGCACACGCGTGTGCACAGGACACGGGGTGATGTTCTCCCACACACGTGTGTGCAGGTGTTCGTGCTCGCTCGTGCACACGTGTTGACACGAGTACATGCACAGGCCAGTGACTCGCTGTGATCACACTCACACACACACACACACGTGTCTGTGCACACACGTGTGCGTGCAGGGCTGGGAGGGGGCTGTGGCCGAGCCCGGGGGGAGGGATTCACCCCTCGGGTGAACCCTCGGTCCCTCCCTGGTAACAAGCGCCGAGGGATTTCCCAAGGTTTCTGTCTCCTGGGAACCGCCGCGGGAAGGGGCAGGTTGTGCCGCGGGGCCGGTTCTGGGCAAGAAAAGCGAGAAATGGCGTTTCTGGTTCAGCAGCAGCAGCTCTGGAATGGAAGGAGAGAGGTTCCTGCTCCGGATCGGGGTGAAAAGGCCCCAGCAGAGCCCCCGCCGCCTCCCTCCTCCGGGCCACATCCCCCCCCGTGCCCCCAGAACCTCCGGCTCGGGGCCGGCGAGCCAAGTCCCGGCTTGCCGCGTCCCTAATCCCCCGAAGAACAGGATTTCTCACCCGGCGCTGACATAACCTCACCTACAGCAGTGCCGGGGCCGTGCCAGAGGGGACAGGGACAGGGATGGGGACAGGCAGAGCTGCAGGGGCTCGGGGAAGGGGTGCTGGAGAAGGGTCACCCCAACCCCTTCACCCCAGGGGTTGATGCAGCTGCATCCCCCCCATCCCGGAGTCACGGGAGGGGTGATGCTGCGTTTGCTTCAAGTTTAGGGAATGAAGGGAGAGAAAGAAGCCCCATTAGAAGAGCAGTGGGTGGAGGGGGCTGGGGTGGGATCTGTCTGCAACCCCCTCGGGACACCCCCGTCCCCCTCATCCCATGCTGGGCACCACGACCCAGTGGGGTTATGAACAGCAGCCCCAGCAGCCCCACATCTGGAAGGGATTCTGCCGGGAAGGGCGGATAAAGCCTTCGCACCCCACCCTCCCCTCCCTCCCTCCCATCCCAGCAAAGCCCTGGGGTGGGCAGGCAAACTACTGGCCCCAAATAACCCCCCCGGAGCGCCAGTGACCCCCGGGAAGGACACGGATTCTGCGGGAGGCGGGCAGGGAGCCGCGTCCCAGAGCCCGGGCAGCAGCAGCTGGCTCGGCCTCTGGAAACATCCGGCAGCGGCCGCCGCCTGCGTCCCCCTTCCCGGCAAAAATCCTCAGAAACCGCAGAAATCCCGAGCGCAAACCACAGGGGGCTCCCCCAGCCCGGGCACGGCTCCCTTCCCACCCTGGCACCGGTGTGGGCCCCCTCCCCCAAACGCTGCCGGTGCCCCAGAGCCCCTCCTGGGAGGATGTGGCTGCTCGGGGATGTTCCCCCCTCCGTGGAGCCCGGGATCCAGCCCGGGAGGGGTGACGTGTACCCACACCCAGCACAGAAGCCAAGGCCACCGGGAGCTCGTCCTGACGCCCCCGCCCCCCCCCATCAGCCTCTCACGATGTCGGGAGAGGGGACGGGGGGGCTCCAATGTGTGGGGCCGGGAGGGGTGAAGCCTCAGTGAGGGCAGGTCGCCCGTCGCCTCCACCCCAAGTCCCTGCAAATCCATCCCAGCTGGCGGGACACCCCCCTCCTCCTTCTCCTCCCCCCCCTCCGGCCACGGCCACGGCCGCTGCGGAAATGAAACACAGCTGGACGGCGCGACCGAGTCCGGCCCCGGCCCCGTGGCCGCCGGGACCCCCGGCTGTGGGGCGGGAGGGAGCCCACGTGCCCCAAGGCCTCTGCCTGTGCCTCCACAGCAGGACCCTGCCCTGGCCCAGGACCCTGAGCCAGCCCCAGTCCCTGCCCAGGACCCTGAGCCAACCCCAGTCCCTGCCCAGGACCCTTCCTCAGTCCCAGGATCCTTCCTCAGTCCCAGGACCCTGAGCCAACCCCAGTCTCTGCCCAGGACCCTGAGCCAGCCAAGTCCCTACCCAGGACCCTTCCTCAATCCCAGGACCCTGAGCCAGCCCCAGAATTTGCCCTGGCCCAGGACCCTTCCTCAGCTCTGAGACACTTCCCTGGCACAGGACCTTGCCTCAGATCCTGCCCCAGCCCTATGACCCTTCCTCTGTCCCAGCCCTTGCCCCTGCCCCGGCCCCAGGACTCTTCCTCAGCCCCAAAGACCCTTCACTATCCCCAAACCCTCCCCAGCACCGGGAACCTTCCTCGGCCCCAGCACCTGCCCTAACCCCAGGACTCTTCCTTAGCTCTGGGACCCTGCTCCTGCCCCAGTCTTGGCCCCATCCCCATCTGCAGGGACTCCAGGCTGGGATGCAAGCGAAGCCCCCAGGAGTCCGAGCCGCATCCAGCGCCCGCTGAGGGCTGGGGGCCCGGCCGGCTGCTTCTCATTTCCAGGGCCATAAACCCCTTTAACGACCGGCCATTTATAGCCGCTGTAAAGCCCCTAATCACCGCCAAACCCAGCCCAGACACAAAGGTTCCCGCCTGCTCCTCCCGCGCTCCCACCTTCCTTTGGATTTTGGGGCTCTGACGGTTTTCCCATCCCCACCCGGGCCGTAGGGACGGGTGTGCAAAGGCAGGAGCGGGAGGGAAGAGCCCCCATAAAACCCCGCAAACTCCCGCTCGGGCGTCCGCTCCCCGGCGCTGCGGGGGCGGGGACCCAAATCTGCGTGTTTAACCCCAAATAAAGGTGGGAGGCCTCCCCACTGCGGCGTTCTGCCCCCCAAGACAGCCCCCCCCTCGGGCTCTGCCGCCCCGAGCCAAGCGGAGCCACGTAAACACGAGGAAAGGCTGGAAAAAGTGACGCACGTCGGGGGCTCGGGGCCGCGTCCAGCCCGGCGCGGGCGGGGGGATCCCCCAAGGCGGCTGCGGGCTCGGCCCCGGCCCCGCTCCCGGGGCTGCCGCGGCCCCTCCGGTACAGCAGCGCCGGAGACCCGCCGGCGGTTCAACCAGAAAAGGGGCTGCGGGAGGGGGGTCCCCAGAGCCGGGGAAGGGGCCAGCTCGTCCCTGGCGTGAGGAGGAGCCGGAGGAAGAGCCGGCGGGACGCAGATGTCGGCGGGTGGCGGGTGACGGCAGCGCCCCGGAGCCCTGTGAGGGACCCCCGCCGCTCCCGCCCACCGAGGCCGGGGGGCTCCTCCCCACCCCCCGCCTAAGGAAAGAGCTCGTTAATCACTTCTTTTTTAATTGGGATCTCTCGCACATAAACCTTTCAGTTCAAAGCAGCCCCCCGGCGGGGTCGGGCGCGTTCAAGGCACGGGCAGCCGCCGGTACCGGGGGCGTCCCCGGGGCAGCACGGGGGGCTCGGAAAGGTGGATGGGGGAGATGCTGCTCCCCGCGCCCGGAATCGTCCCAGCCCCTTTCGCAACGAGGAAGGTGGCACCGAACCACCGACGGGAGCAGCTCCCACAGATCCCGGCGGGATCGGAGTCCCACCCACTCCCACGCCTCCTCCAGGCGCTGGCAGAGGTAGTTTTGGGGAAGGGAAGGAGCCTGCTCCATTCCCAAATCCCCCAGGGATGAGGGCTGCCCCAGATCGGGACCCCCCGCAGCTCCCTGAGCTGTTCTGGGGGTGCAGGACCCAAGACCACCCTCTGGGAAGGCACCAGCCCAGGCTCTCCCCACGCCTCTGGGGAGGACAGAGCAGAACAGCAGCGTCACAAGGCACGTTGGGGGGGCCCAGGGATGAGGGACATCACTCCTGGCCCTGTGACATTCATGGATGGGGCAGCTCCTCAGCACTCACGGCTCCTCCCAGGGCTCCGGGACCTCTGGGGGCAGGACCAGGCTCGTGGTGTCACTCTGGGCCCCCACTAGGGCACAGTTCAGGCTGGGGACATCACTCCAACCTCCCCCAGGGCACAGGACAGGCTGGGGACATCACTCCAGGCTCCCC